CTGGCGAAGTCGAGGTCGGCCTCCCTGGACATGGTGATGTTGGTGAGGTTCTGCTGGAGAACAAAGATGTTCCTGCACATCTTCTTGATACCAGACTCACTAATCCTCTTAAAGTACTGGGCCCCATTGATTAGAATGCAGGAGATCAGATGACCTAGACCTGTTGGGGGAGAAGAGAAGAAAGGGAAGAAGAGAAAGAGAAAATAATGATTGTCAGATGAGCACAAATAATCAACAGAGAAAGGCATAAATACAGCAGAGATGAATAGAAGGATGAAGGAAACTGCTTTAAAAAGGCAGGTTAATCATATTTCTCAGGCAGCTGTTTATCCTTCACCCCAGGTCGGCGCTGACCTTCAAAAATATACTGGAACTTGTGCTGCTGCAGAGCAGCCCCCATGGCCTCTTCTATTGCTGAGATATCCTTGTTCAGTTTGACCACCAGTGGGTCGTAGTCCATGCTCTCCACATTAGCCACAATGGCGTAATTTCCTTGCTTGGTGAGGGGGATCAGGTAATGGAAACAATGCACCCTAGATTGAAACAGAGGAAGACAGCAAAGGAAGGTAAATAAAAGAGAAAGTTGCTTGAAAAAATTTAAGTATCTCATTTTGTTCTCTATCCATTTCAGGTGTTATCATTGAATGTACACCTGTTAATCTTTCTATAATGCCCAATAGTGTACCCAAAATTCTCTCACAGTTAACTGTGGATATGTTGAAAAAACATGTTGTGTGCTGAGTTTCAAAATAAACAAAACAGCCTCATATAAAGAAGTATGTATGAGGTACATGATTCTCTGCCCTTAGAGTACAACACGTTTAGGAGTTACACTTTAGTTGGCACTGGGTGTTCACACTACTCTAACACCTATAATTACTACACAGGTCATTATGTTTAGAGTACTTATAATGCATCCACTTATTCAGCAACAGGACATAAATCTGATTAGTTAAGGGCAACCTGTAGAGCGCACTGCTAAATATGCTGTACAACTCTGAGGAATGTATAAAGAGGATTGCAGGTCTAATATATTTACAACCTGCTACCTATAAAAAAGCTTCACTTCAGGTGTTGTATTGAAATGCCACAGCCTGAGGATGTCTTTGAGTCCCCTTCACTTTACACATTCATCATGTTGATGAGCTTGATGAAGATGGGGTACACACACTGATCTGTGATAGTAACCGGAGCCGCTCCAGTGCAGTAATTATAGGTTGAGAATGTGGCTGAAGGGTTTTTGTTGACTGGTAAAATTACACACGGTCATCCATATCAGAAAATGCCAAACAACATTTGATTTCTTGATCACTGTTGTGTAGCATTTCTCTTTTAGACTCTAAAAGAAGTAACGACAATTTGGAGAAGCAAAAAAAAAATTGACCTCTTGTTTGTCTATATTAATATTTTATGCCAATGGTGACATACTGTACATCTTTAATACTACTTTTAGGACTGTAATGGGTAGAGGCGATGAATTTTAACCTATCCTATAGCAATATGCTTCTTCTTTCTGTTCATTCAAACAAGTACATCTTGGTCTGAGGACCTTTACGTCCATAGACAGCTCATTATTGTCTAGACTTGAGGAGTCAATACTTTCATAAGGCCATAATCACAGTGCCCTTAGCAGAAAGGTATAAGATGATATGGGTGAATGTCTATTCCCCTTAAGGAAAAGCCAACAACTACACCACATTTTCAATGCCTCCATCTCACTTCCTGCTCTCTCTATTCAATCATTTCTCTCACTTAGATACTGTATCTCCCTTCTTTTAACCCCCACCGCCACTTTAACCTCCGCACTTATCTCTCTCCTATCTCTTCCACCCTCCCCTCCCGCTTTCTTCCTCATGGCTTCATTTAGCTGGTAGCACTATCAGGGGAAATTCGCTAGATGGGGAGAGTCAATGGAGTGTAGCATATAGCTAGACATCAGCCTCAGGGAGGGTTTTCTACTGAAATCATAAACAATATTGCATAAGCTACACAACAGTCTGTGGGGAAATAGCAGTACATGGAGGGATAGAAAAAAGGGGAGATGGATGATGGAGGACTATTAGTGGTTGTGGAGGGAGAAAGTATATGGTGTGGTAAATTAACTTAGATACTGACACTGAAAAAAAATATTCAAAAGATACTAAAAAATTCTTTGCGCATTCAGGAAATGGGTGTGTGTCTCTTATAATGTTTGGCCATATGACTCCATAACACATCCTCTGAGCTTGTTTGGCATGATCACGGTACTGAGTAGATTGCTTTTTGTTCAGGTGAGGCCTGAGAATCTGAAGCTGTGTCTAAGATGAATTTAACAATATAAAACGCCTTCTGAATGTTTATATTGCTCTTTATATTCCTCTCTGAAGTGTGAGTGAGTTTCTCCTTCCTACCTGACCTCCAGGTGTAATACCAGGAGACAGCGGTCAGCGATGTCCTGAAAGCTCCTGGACAGGTCACTCAGGGTCTGGAGAATCTGCTCCCTGCTGCGTTCACTCTCACCAATCACCTGACTGTCTGCTGAGCATGGAGACACATCTGAATGGACAGAACAGAAATGAAAACGTACACAGACACTATTAACACACACGATTATACCAAACAAGGGCAGTAGTATTGAGTAAAGTAGAGTGATCAACATTTAACTAGAAGGTTCAGGACCGAGTTTCAATGTCCAGATGCTATTGAAGTGTCCTTGAGGGAACTGCTAAACCCTGACCAGTTGACCCTGACCTCTGACAACCCACATACCATACTATTATACTAATGTCATTACTGTAACTTGTCTATGCACACACACATTGTACTGTACCCCATGGCAATACACACAAACACTTTAATACTGACACAATAAGGTATTACAAATGACACCTGCTCATAAGGTACACACAAAAGAAAGCCACTTCACACACTTCCTGAGTCCTTCAGCATGTTCTTGTACTTTCTTCTCAACACTTGTGCTGAGACAGCAGGAGCATGTGTCAGTGCACTGCATTGTAAACCATACAAAAGACCTGTGTGTGTGTATGTGTGTGTGAAAAGAGAGAGAGCGAACCAGAGAGCAAGAGAGCATGATGAGTGTATATAAATTCAGCCCAGTGTAGATCAATGGCCATAAATTAGCAAGGGGAGGAAAGGGAGAGAAATTGGCCCCGTCACTCATATGTAAGTCTATTTGGTCAATGAGGCGAGAGTGTGTGTGTGTGTGTGTGTGCGTGTGTGTGTGTGTGTGTGTGTGTGTGTGTGTGTGTGTACAAAGAGTGACTGTTGAGCAGGAGAATGCAGGGGTCCACGATCGATGTGCTGCAGTCAAAGCCAGCTCCCCAGTTACTCTTCCTGCCCTTCCGAAGGTCACACATGCAAGGCACACATGCATGCACGCACACACACAGAAAGCTAAAGACAGAGTGGCACCAAGTCTAAACTAAGGCCAAAATAACCTGATCATCTGTCTTCTTTCTCTATGATATAATACTTCTGAATGATAGCCCCCCAAACAGACAGAAGGTGTGATAAAGTTAAGTAATACTTAGCTCAAACATGTTACACCGATTGATTCCCATTAAGTTTTCCTATACCCAGGCAAACCAAATTTGCCTTAACCAACACATTTTTTAAAATACTTTTGTATTCATTTTTTCTTCATCTCAAAAGTCTGCTTGGAATGTCACCATATTACTTTCCAATATGTAAGTTAGCTTGGAACTGCAATCCTGTTTCACAGCTAACTCTAAGATGTTAGATGTATCAGAGCTCTCCAGCTACCAGGGAAACACTACCACATCTGTTACAGTAGGAAAGCAGAGATCCATTGATATTTGAAACATAGACACAGCATTAAACTTAGAGTAGAGGTACTTCAAAAAAAAAAAAAAAAGACAGAGGCAAAACTGAATTCAGAAAAAACTGCTGATATCAGAAGTCCTAAAATGTAAAAAAAAGAAAAAAAAGAAAAGACTTAATATGTTATATCCACTTAAGATCTAATACCTAACATACTTAAATGATTGATTGTATAAAACTTTCTCATTTTAAGAAACTGGTCAATCAGACTTGGCACTTGGAAAAAATATCTATGAACAAGATACAAAAAGAATGAAATGACTGATCAAAGTAAATATTGAGACATTGTACTTTTTAAAAAAGCATCCAACATTAGCAGATACACATCTTTGCTATGTTTCTATGGGACTAATGTAGTTTACATGATATCAAGATCTTTAGATGTTGGATGATTCGTCAATGTTCTGTCTTACAAGCGGTGTAGGCCGGTGACATCATAAGCCTAACTGATGCAATCAGCTGGCACACACATTTATTAGCCGCTGTTTCCTGAAACCACACTGCTCCTGTGGAAGGTCTTTGAAGTGAAACTGGAAGGTTGAACTGCTTCGACGCCTCTGTCCTTTTCTGGAGTAGTGATGTTTACTACTAAGATGAAGAGCTCTGCATATCCCCCCACATTAATAAGGCCGATTTAAGTTCAAAACCTTACTGTACACATATTCATATTCACTGTTTTGAAATCATAAAAGCTCATTAAAACAGTTATTCTTTGCTGCACTGCATGGTGAGTGCTTCTGTGTGCTCATATCCATGTGTGTACATTTTGTATGTGCTGATGAATATGTGCTTCTGTCCCCATTACAGTTACTTTAAATTAACCCCTGATAAGATGAGAGACCCTTTGGTTTGGGCAAACAGCAGTGAGGTATGTGCCGTGGCCATCCAATTAACAAAGCAAACACAGGCAGGGCTGTGGTGTGACAAAAGTGACAGCTGCTCTTATGGTCTGTGTGCCTTATAGATAGAGATAAATGCTAGAGATAGTATTTCCTATTATAAGGTGTGCATGTGATGTGTGCAGCTGTGTATTTAAAAGTGCTAAATGCATCTCCTGTATGTATGAACTTACTGGCTAATTAACTGTCTCCTTGAGTACACCTCTTGATAATGTGCGTGTGGGAGGACACTGCAGTGCAGCGTCACAGAACATTTGCAGCCATTAGAAACAGTGTATAAGCGGCCACTTGGAGTCAAAGACCTGCAACACAAACACCCGTATAGACTTCAACCAAGGCGCAGTTCTAACAAATAGGCAGACTTCAGAGAGATTTACAGTTTGCAGTAAAATGTCTAGTTGTTAATGAAGTCACTTTTCTCACTGCTGACTCTACAAACTTGTTGGTAAACAACAAATGATGAGCTTTCCTTTCCTCTTTTTAATCAGTTTCGTTGTTACACAGCAAGAAACAGTACCACAAGTTCTGAGATAATTAAGGGGTGGGATGCCCATCATTTTAGGATTATTTAATTTGACTATTTCACATTGAACCAGTCTGACAGCAAAACTAAGACAGGTTGAAATCAATAGACTTGTTTGTATGTAAAATCCATATGAAGTTTTCACTAGGGACTGCCTCCTCCGCAGGCAGAAAACAGGCTGCCACGGATTAGATCTTTAGGCTGACAATATTAATATTAATATTAATCCTGCTAAATGAGCAACAGAAACAAACAAACAACATTGGCTTTAACATAAAAAAAAATCGACAATGATTTCTCAAGGGAGTGAAGCATAATGACATTAATTGACTTAATTTGATTGGATTTAGCTGAAGATGTTTATTCTCTCTAGTCACCTTATCAGATCATCAATAGAAACAGAAGCCAGCACTGACACACAACATTGACGCTCAAATATTCAGTGACAAACCTGAAAGCAGTGATCTGTGGTATTATTGATGTGTATTGGCAGCAAAGGAATAGTAACAACATCAACAAGTGTTTGGTGCAGCTAGCAGTGCGCTGACTGCATATACAGACACAAACCTGTCATTTGTGCTTACATTTGCATCCTGAGAAAAAGGTACATGTATATTTGTCAGATATAGACTATTTTCCTTGCTGAGTGTCTCTTTCCTTCACTTAGCTCGTGTGAGGGAGCAAGAGCATTTTACTTGCTCTGCCTGTGGGAGTGTTCACTCTCCAAGTGTGTGTGTATATGTGCACATAGGCGTGCGTGGATGTGACTCGAAGGCTTCTGTTTCCTCTCATGTGCATTACACTCACTCACTTTGGCAGCAGAAAGGCAAAAAAAAAGGCTCGCTTGTGGCACACACTGCTGGAGGTCTCTCCAGGGGGTGTCCGCGAAACACGCACACACACCCAAGAAACACACACGCACAGAAACACACAGAAATACTGATACACGCAGATTCCTCAAGACCCCCCCCCCCCCCCCACCCTCCGCCCAAGCCTGTGCTGCTTTGATGATGCGAGGGAGGTGTCACAGCATGGGGGGCACCATTAAAGTCAGGGACAGACGGGCAAAAGGAGACGACTCATTGGTCCTGACTGACAACTTTCTTTCTCTCTTTTTTTCTTTTTCTGCTTCTCTCTTGCTTTCTTTTTCCTCAAACCAAATCACTCCCATATTGTATTTGTAAGTTCTTTGTGTATGCATGAGTAAATGTGAAGATACGTATGCACATGTTGTGTATCTATTTGTGCACCCATGTGTAGGCATGCATGCATGTGTATGTGTGTGTGTGTGTGTGTGTGTGTGCATGGTGTGCTTATCCAATTATTTTTGAATCTCATCTAAGAGAAACGTCTGTTGCTTGCCATCTGCAGAGGATGAGGGTGGCAGACATTAAGAGAGAAGATCAGTGATGGAATTCGCACATTTACACACATACCGCAAGCAGATGCAAACATACCCCTACAGTTCATATCAAAACACAACCAATCACCCTGTCTGCCATTAAGGGCATACACAATACATTGAGAGACAAGAAAACAACATGACTTGACATTTTCTGTGGCATTGACAAATACAGATGCTGAATTTTTGATAAGAATCATCTGCTCCGTTTAGAAAGTACAACATGCCCTACCTCTCAGCAGAAAAGAGGAATGGAAGAGAAAATGGAGAAAGATAAGCAAAGGACAGTATCCTGCAGGGGTGGAGTGATGAATGATTCATAAATGACTGACTGAATAAGAGAGGTGAGGAGTTACTAATTATTTTGCTGCCTCTGGTAGAGGATGAACATCTGCACACGGGGATCTGAACTTCTGTCCAGAGAGAAAGGGGGGAAAAAAACGAGAAGGGAGAGAGAGAGAAAATTGAGAATGAGATTTTGATATCGGAAAATCCCAAATTGCTTAATGGTGTCTGTCTTGTAATGAGAGAGAATAAAAATATCCTAGACATTTTGGACAGAAGCAAATGGATAGATGAACGAAAAGGCAATATTTTGACTAGTGATAAGACAACACCATCATCTCCCACTGCAGCTTCTCCCCGCGGCCTCTGCAGTGAATAAGAATCTGTTGTTAGTCAACTCTCCTTGTCAAATGGAGTCAAGAAAAAGATAAAAAATGCTAAAGGGAAAAGACCTATACTCACTCTAGTCAAGGTTAGAAAAGTGTTAGCCCTAACACATGCAGCAGAACAACCACTGAAGAGAGAAGGAAATTACTCCCATGAGGAGATCACATGATTATTGTCTAGAAACCCTGCAGCATAGATTACAGGCCTGTTTCTATGCACCTAATGATGGTCAGGCCTCTGATGTGAACACACACATTTGCACACAAGTACATTAAATATTGGTAGACAGAAATAAGTTTGCAAGGAAAAGACTGCCCACTAAGACGACCTTTCACGCTGTTCATGATCTCCAGTTTGCAGGTCGTTCTTCAGTCCACAAAGATCCAACGATGCTCCCAGACATGCTGGCAAACATTATTTAAAAAATCTCAAACATACATACACACACAACAGCCAACAGAAAAATGTCTGTCATGCTGACATTGCCCCTCAGGCATCTGTGTGTGTGTGTGTGTGTATGTGTTGTCTGGTAAATATTGTCAGAGTGGATTAGAAGTTCAGCGCTGCGACCAGATGGGTGATAAGACCCTTTCTCCAGCCACCTTCACGGCCAATCACCATCAGTGGTCTGTCTGCATACACACACACACACACACACACACACACACACACAAACAGCCTGACACACACACACCTCCAAGCCGATATGTACAAAACTACCTGCGTACAGACTTGAACTGAATCAGCATCACGAGGAAGCTGAATGGATTAAATGTCCATTCTATGTTCATATTATTGTGTATACTTCAGAGCATAGCAATATGTGTAACTACACATCCAGTAGAATTCAATCACACAAGAAGGTGATCAAACCAAGCGTCCACTGCAGAGATCACCCAGCCATGGACAAAATCTCCCAGACCCTTACCACTCAAAGTAAAAGAAAAACAGAGAGAACAATGGTCAAACTGCCAGGAGAAAGAAAGAAAGAAAGAAAGAAAGAGAGAAAGAAAGAAAGAAAGAAAGAAAGAAAGAAAGAAAGAAAGAAAGAAAGAAAGAAAGAAAAGGCAAAAAGAGGGAGAGGAAAATGAGTTGTTCATACCTGACTGCTTCTGTAATATAAAATCCAATTTGGAGAGGCATAGACGTGAGGCGGGGGGTTGGAGGATGAGATAAGGTGGGGTCCTTTTTCCCTGCTGTACCCTTGTCCCATCTTACACAGTGCATGCTTATGTACACACACACAAGCACGCGCACAATAACACCCATACTAACACACACAAAGTCCGTCATCAGCTCAGCAAACACTAAATAATGAACAATACGGAGGCTGTCCCAGCATGATAAGTGACTGCCCTATCCTTCCCATTAATGCCACCCGCCAGAATTAATGATAATTATGTCACGTCCCTTCCCGTACTTTTATTGAATTTTTATCTATGAATAGACGAAGAAAGCTAGCGTCGGAGTGAGAGGGAAGGGAAGAGTTTAAAAAGAGATAGTAACAAAGTCAAGCCCATATGTATCTGAAAATTTCTCATTTAATTATTTTATGTCTAAAAGAGAAGTAGTGATATGGAGCAGCAAAACAGCACAAGTTCAATGAGCAATCAGAGGTCTGAAGCTAGAGAGTTGTGACAGCGGCTGATAAAGGTTGAAGCCCTCTCTCTATCCAGAGACGTTACAAGAGACTTTATTCTATCCATCTAGGAAAGGTGCATAATTTACCAGAGCTCTGCCAGAGGACCAAGATACTGCTGCGAACATGGCTAAGTTTCCCTATAGTACTGTAACAAATAACTACAGCGGTGAATGAAAAGCTGTATGAAAAAGTGACAAGACGTCTACACACATTTCATATGAAAATGTGTTGATTACAGTGTTGAAACTCGATGCAGATGGTGCATTAGCAAAGCATAATGGTTATTACTTCAAAACAATCACAACAATGCAGCAACATTTGAGCCTATTTCCAGATAAACAGAATTTTCAAAAAGCATCATCTTGTCAAAATTGATAATCTACAATCCCACTCTAGAAATTCAGCCTGACAACATTTTTAAATATGTTAAATATTGAATGAGCTTATTAGAAAGACATAAACAACACATTAAATAAACATGACTTTTGCATGAGACTGAGAAACTGAAGTCTGACATCTGTTCGTGTCGTCAGAATGTGGGGAAAAGGTTTTAAACTGCACATTTATACAGAATAATTAGACTGCTACTACAAATGACAGTACAAAAACAAACCTGACGCTACAGGAAGAGTCATTAATGGGAATAATAACTCCCTGATTGCTATCATATGATGCTAATAAAAAGATATGGACTTGAAGAAGCATATTACAAGATGCTAGAATCTTTATAGGAAGATTAAATGTGCTCTCAATGTGATAATGAGGATAAAAACATTACTGTAATGATAAATGATTAACAAGGTCTACATAAAGACTATGTGTTGGATGCAAACACGCGCACACACACACCTCATTTTGATCAGTGATAAATGATGCAAAAGTGATGACTGAGCAGCGAATGTATGAAATGCTTTTAAAAGTCCTGATTAGGGCAGGCATTTATGCACACACACTAGCAGAGGTAGAACCATCCATAATGAGTGTGTGTGTAAAGTGTTCTTTGACAACTCCAGTGGAGAAGGTAATGAGTGTGTGATAATACACTCAAACAAAGAACTTAATGAGGCACAGGTAAGAAGTGTTGCTACAAAAGCACTGCAGCCAAGGATGAGAAAACTTCATGTACCCCTGATTGTGATACTGCATAAACCATCAACATGATATGTTTAATCTGCAGTGTATTGCGATCAATAACTGCCTAATGACCTGAGAGACTGGTAGCAATGTCCCCTGGAAAACATATGCATGATGTAATTTGCACTATACTGAAATATACCAGTCAGTAGAGGATGTATGTTGTCGGAGAGTCTTCTCCCCAGGTACTTCCAGGGCTAAAGCTTCACTTAACCAGTGTACTCTTGCAACTGTTGGATGTCACGTGATCTCTTACACACTTGACACAAGCTCATACTCAGAATATTCTTAAATTTGGCAGCCATGAAGGTATTTCTGTCTGCGCCACTGGAAAAACAAGAAGCTGAAGAAAGAAAAATGACATGAGAATAATCTGATTTTTGGTGCAATGCAACTAACTGATGAGCAGAATTCATGTGTCAAAGACAATGTTCGGTTTTTCAGTATGTAGAATAAACAGCAACAGATGCCTGTGTCGGCGTCAGTGTAACAGTAGGCACAAAATGCACTGCACTGTTTGTGTCAAAAAATATTTCCATATTTTGTTTAATTCAATTCCATCAACAGAATAATACCTTTAGGGACATCCAGTTAGTACGAACAAGGTTTTGGGTATGTTGAGGAGAATCCAGTTAGTAATGTAATATATATCAGCATTCAGGCTGTCAATCGCTTTGTATTTATTATCTAGTGATGTTATAGCTTGGCCTGTAATCATAGATAAGAGATAGATATGAGACGTATGGGACCTAAAATATGTTTCCAGGAGAGAGGAAGATGAGGTGATCTACCTGGTAACACTGTGACAATGACATTATGACATATGCCTACCAAAGAGCCAATTCATGTTTCCACAATTCCACATCCCAAATGAAGCTTCCCTTACTTACTGGAGGAATGAGGCAGGTTGGCGAAGAACATCTTGAGGCGACCAGCAAGCCACTCCATGCTCTCATGGAGGTTGGCCAGAGCTTTCAGGTCACTGACGTCACGAAGGATCTCATTCTGGGGGATTAACTTGTCTCCAAGGTTCCCAGTCAGCACCTCGGACTCCTTAGCAAAAGCCGCTCTGAATAAAAGAGACGTCAAGGGAGGGATGTAAGAGTGTGTATGGCTAGAGGAATATATTTGGCAAAGAAAAACATCACTGGACATAACTCGACCAGTATACACCATTACACAAAAGTGAAAGCTGTCAAAAAAGTGTAAGGACAAATATGTATAATTACTACAAGGCATGACTATGAAAGAGCATGCAACCAGTCAACAGTATTAAGTTCTTTGAGGGAAATTATTGGTTTGCTGGTTGGACTCAAAATGCCTGGTCTGCAGAGGCAGTGTGTGGCTGACATAAATGCTATAATGGAGGTCAATTTCCAAAAGTTAAAACATAATGGACTGAATGGAATGAATGTACAAATGTGTGAGTGTGCTTGTGTGAGTGTGTTTATTTGAAGAGGATTTGAATTTTTATAGTAATATAATATTTATATGCACAATGGTTAAGTGATGTGGAACTGAATTTGGACCCTGACCTTTACAGTGATGTGCAAATGTTCAAACCGAATATACAGAAAGAAAGGAGTCACTGGGTTTGATAACTAGACCGATACAAAAATGGAAAGATAAAATAAAGAATTATGGAGAATAGGAACATAAAGTTGGACATAGTATTAAGAGAATTTTACAGGCACAGTCACTTTAAAAGGAGTAGCTCCACAGTCAGTTGGAGAGAAAAACAGCAGGTGATGGAGAATATTTGGAAATAGAAAACAAACACAAGGCCGAGATTTACAGGGTGGAAAAACAAAGACAAAAAGATCAAAACCTCTTTTGTGTTTCGGGATAATTAACTTTGGAGACTGGTGAGAAAGATACGGAAAGAGTAAGTTGGAAGTTTTATAACTAAATCTCAACACCACAGTGCTGCAAACACATGGCATGCGGACCGGCCTTCAGATTCACCGGGATGCCCACAAGATCAAGATCCTTTGAACAACAGATGGGTAAAAGCAACACCAGACAGGCAAACACATACTTTCTCACTCACACATAGGCATGTGTAGCTTATTAATGAGGCTTTATTAAAGCACTGGGTTGCCAGTCGTGCAGAAGCTAATCCCCTTTTCATAGTGATGAAAACATCTATGGCTCTCAAATCAAACAGCCTTATGGTCTGCCTCTTGCTATCTCTGCACTCTCACAGTGTGTGTGTGTGTCTGAGAAAGGGAGTGTTTGAGAGGGAGAGAGTGCATACAACAGATTGACTTTCTCTGGCCACATAACCAATTTATTTATTTACTTTACTATTCCGCTCCGATGAGCTTCAGTGTTCCCTGAAGAGAGCGCACATTCAAAGGCAATTTCGATAAGACTGACCCCCCCCCCCCCCCACCAACTGCTCTCCTTATATTTTCCTATTTTGTTCTTCCCTCGTTTCCTCACTTCCTTCAGATAGAGGGTGTTTAAAAGAGCAATCGTGACTTCTTTTATGGGTGCATCTTTGTCAACAAGAGAGGGTTCAATAATATGTGAATAAGGGAGCAAAGACAGGAGGGAGGGATTATTTGCGTGATTGCTCAAGTGTGATTGTGTGTGTCTACCTCTGGTTGTTTGTGTGTGTACAGTATGTGCTCGTTACCTTGCCTGTTTGAGTATAGGTTCTTCATGACAGAATTGTAAATGTTCACACAAATAGATATATGTATATTTCTATGAACAAGTACATATGTGCTCTGTGTGTGCTTGTGTGTGTACCGGGTGAAGTCCTCTTCATCCTCTCTCTTCTGTCGAGTCTGTCTGGGTTGGGCCATATTTGCCCAGTTAGGGAGAGACTGGAGCAAACGACTGATGTCCTCATCTTTAGACCAGGAAGCACTGATGGTCAGCTTCTCCTCACACTGGACTATACCCCTGGGGACGCAGACAGACATTAGGAATTCATTCTTTAATTTTAGAGGTATCCTGTCAGGAACTGAGGTAATGAAGGAATGGTTATTCTTATGTGCTGGTGGTGCTGGATGACAAGTCAGGGGATAACCATAGTTAATTGTATTAATCCTCTACAGACCAAGAATGTCTGTGCCCAATTCCATGGCAATCCATCTACAGGTTGTTAAGATATTTCACTCAAAAATGTTGACTGTCAGACTACCAATGCCTTAGAGCCAGACACAGACAGACTAGTGGCATTAATATTCAGGTAGTTCTATACTGACATATACAAGAGAATTACAGCAGCTCTAGTTGGTGTTAAGACAAACTGGGGCAGACTGCCAACATGTATTTGCTTTGTTTGCACATGTCTGGGTTGGAGAAAACTGCTTGGTTCTGCAATTAACATCACATTAATACCTCATACAGGAGACACAAGCACTCCATGGTTTCACATCCACACACCCACATATAAAGGAAGAAGGGAGGGGGGGCTCAGCGAGACAGAGAGTTGTTCATGTGTAACTGCACACTGCACGCACACAAACACAGCCACAAACAAAAACACACACATACCCTATGGCAGTCTCTGTTGGGCTTGTCTTTATCATTCGGAGGCCCCAGTGAGACTGAGGCTGACCTGTGACAGAGTCCAGATGGACTCCCAGCAGTCTGTCAGTCCTTTCCTGTGTCTCCTGGCCCGTTCATCACTCCCTCTCTTACCCCCCCTCCAATATGCTCTAGCCCTCCCTTTACCTGGCCAGGTGTTACATGGTCCCAGGGGAGCACAGATGGATGGCCTTTCACCAATGTGTGTGATTGTGGGCGTGTAGAAATAAATAAGAACAACAATCAAACCCCATTCCGTGCTCTTAAAAGTAAATATTCTGAAAAAGCACGCTACCATTTTCCTATAATTTTCTTTTTTCTTTTTTGTTTTGGTGGTAAAAACAACACTTAGGAAAGCTTCCACATCAGCTTTACTCTTATCCAGGCTGCAACCTAACCTAAATTTATTCCCACAACAGTTTAACAAAAGCCAAAAAACACAGTGAAACCCTGTGCTCTCTCTGCATTAGATGAAAGCAACTGTTACATTTCTAAAATGTAATCAAAGATGATTTTTGATGATATTATTGCTAATGTTGTTTGGTTGGGTTTGGCAGATTTTAAGAGCCAAGTGATCATAAGACAGACACCTATATAGAATTCAAACAATAAAAAGAAGAATTTAAAGTGGCTGTCATCCTCCAGGGAAAAAAAAGGATTCTGGCTTCTGTAGCAGGAGAGCTAGTCTCTGCTGTCTTTTACCTGTAGGCTGTGTTGCAGATTTCCTTGTACTCTTTGAGCTTGTCGCAGACCATTTCAAGGAACTGGTTGGAATAGGCACTGAGGTCCTGCATCAGGCTCATTAGATCCTGGATGGACTTCTCCACTACCACGGTGCTCTAGAGGCAGAAAGAGGAGCAGAGCAATCAGTGTTAGGTTGGGTTGAGCTTTCAACTGTAAAAAGAGAAAAACAGACAAAGTAAGAGACACGGAAAAATAAAAGGGGACTGGATTTTATGCAAGTGTCAGGTCAGATCCAGTCTGCTGTAGTGCCAGTGTAATAGGATGGCTCTAACTTCACTTATCTATCTGTCACCTGCGGCTGGACTGATGACTGCAGCTGGAGAGCTTGTCGAAAGTCGTAACACCGTATTGGTGGAATGGATGATTCTTTGTGTGTAAGTGAATCAGCGTGAGTGCACCTATTGGTGTGTGTTTTTGAACTTCTGTGTTGTGTGTGTTCTCAGGCTGAAAGCGAGTGTGTGTGCATTTGTCACAGTGCACCCATCACCAGGAGCCACGGCAGGGCTGTGACAGCAGCCATTACAGATTAGCCACTCCTGTGTGACTAATAGCTGGCCCGGGAACAGCAGAGCAGTTTCATATCCCCAGACACACTCACACATACACACAGGGTGCAAACTTTTCAAAACACACACCTTTGAGCAATTCCAGAGCTGTTAAATGAGATTACAACTCAGTACGTTCCAGTTTGCCTGCTCCTAGCACTTAACCAATCTATCCTGCATCTCCAATAATAGTGATAACTTGCTATTAGTCTGGCAATAGCCTTGCTGCACCCACTCTGAAACTACGAAAGCAGTACTGTGTCTGTTAAAGATACACAAGGAATATTAAACATATGGTTTCCATTCATCACTCGTAGATTATCACTATTCAGCTCACTAGTCTGCCTATGTAAACTTGGGAGTCCCATTGTTTAGGAGTGAAAGGGAAAAATTCATCCCTTTGTCAAAGATTCATAAAATAGCAGTAGAAGGTATTGCTACATCAACATCTTATTTACTCCAACAAATGGTTATGAGTTGAAATATGGAATAAGATATGATATCAATAAAAAATGCCTGACTCCCAGAGAGGTAGACTTAAAATGTACAAGTCTGTGTGCTATAGCAATAAATATGATCTCTATTAGTTTATCATTAATAACACATTTTTAAAATAGTTCAATTATATTCAAGGCCAGTAGCTAGCTGCCAAAGTGGCTGCAAAGACTGTAGGGGGCAGTAGTGACTGTAATTGATCTTCAAAAAATATGGAGACCCCTGATGTGATAGAATGATATTAATATTAATAGCTCTTTCTCTGTTTCAGTTTCCCCCTCACTCATTCTGTCTCAAGCAGCCAAACTTGCACACACACATACACACACACACACGCGCACACACACGTGCACACACGCACACAGACGCACACACACGCACACATGCCCACACATGCCCACACGCACACAAACAGCAGCCACTCCACTGAGGGAAGTAATGATCCATAGCAGTGCCCATGCCCATGGAGTGCTAACCAAGGCCCTGTCTCTGCCAAGGGAGCACCCTTTACTGTCCATGCCTGACTCCCTGTCAGCTTGCCAGGGTATCAGGAAGAAATACACAGAGCCTGCAGGAGGGCTAGCTGCTGTGGCTCAGGCAGCAGCTACCTCCACTTCCTAGTGTAGGCTGGTGGTACTGTAAACAGCTTTATATAACACAGTGAAAAAAAACGGCAATGACATTGCTGCCAATTCCTGTTACCGTGACTACGGTGATAATGCAGTGATAATAATACACTACTTTGTGATCCCTGAAGGGAAATTCTTTTTTTTTACTGGCCTCCTCCAGGGAGGTCAGGTTGTGGAGTCAGCACAGCTGAGGCTGCAAGGGATTCAGTGGGTGGCTCGGGGAAACTTCAGCAGAGTGCATGACTGACTTTCTCAGACAGAAAGTCCATATAAATGGAGTGCATTAAGGTGCTGGAGTATTTATGACCCATTTGACTTTGCAAAAATGTGATTATTTAGATAAATCAAACCGGATTGATTTCGTCCATTTATAGTAACAGGTAGCTTTTGTAGAAATTAAACTGCTGCAACCGCAAGAACTCTTAGGATACATCAAGAAAAGTACTGTATTTACAAAGTAAATGGCATACATAAGAAAAAGGCAAATGTGGAATACAGAAATAGCTAATACCTTCAATTCCACTTTAATAAGTGAAAATGAATCAATACAACAGTGCAAGAGCATGTATTCCCATGTTTCCAGGATGTGCTAAATACTGTTGCTGCATTAGCAGTTTGTAGTATTTGCATAGCAATTATTGTAGCAGCAGCTGGATTTTTTACACATTAAAGAATAGGATTCTTTATCAAAAATGTGGGCAAATATGAGAAGTTCACCTTTACAGTTTCAGAATTCAAGAAAATCCTGTAAAAATGAAAGAAAAAAGTGAAAATAAAAGAATAGCAAGATGTTGAGTCAATAACAATAAGCTATTGTCAAAAACCTAATGTGTACTCAGAATCATAACAGTGTCCCCCTTACTCTTGTTGTCCCCACTTTGAGGACATAGAGCTCAATAGCAGGCCAAGTCAGTGAATGGAGAAGAGTAAACAATGGATGCCTGATCCATTACTCCTGCTCTAACAAATGCTCTCGCGCTCGGCTCCCTTGTCTAATTCTGCTCATTTAACACAGCCATTTGTCTTAGGCAGCAGAAATCATTAAAAAGTAATCAAGGGACAGATTGAGAAAGGGAGGGCTGAGAGAGAGAGAGAGTGAGTGAGTGAGTGGTAGAAAGAGCGTGTTCTGCTACATCTCCTCTATCTTATTTGAGTGTTACATAGGAGACAACATGCAATGTGGGGGCTTCTCTATCTATGTCTATCTTACTCTCTCCTGCTCTCTTTCTAATGTTTCAAGCTTAAAGGTCAACAGGCTGTGCTATCATGCGAATAACATCCATATTTCTCTTGTAATTCTCCTCCACAGTATAGTATTATCCCTGAAACTGAGCTTGGTTGCACTTTGCCTTTACTCCTTTACATTATTACTACGTAAAAGCAGTCATCTAGGTAAATTAGACTTGGGTCTTGCAAATGGATCGCAGAATTTGCTGGGGTAAACTGCTGTCGTTAAGAGTGAAATGAAGGCTACGGCCATAGTGGTTTAATGACAGCAGGGCAAGGCAGAGCACTCAGACTGGCGCCTCAGCAGAAATAGCTGTTAATGCACGGTCATCACTACAGAAACCACCCTGAGCCGGCGCTAAAAGAAGTGACTTCTTTTGGTGGAGTGAGTAAAAAGCAAAACACAGGGAATGACATTAATGCAGTAAGAGCGCATGGATGTAAACACTCAACTCCTCTGTGTTGCTGTATTCTGTTGGCTAAATGTGAAGCGTTATCCTGAGGTAGACAAAGGAAGATAAAAAGAGGAAATGTATTGTATTTACACAGGTCTACTTGGACTATGTAATGTACATGCTGTGGGAATCGGAAACGGCTCATGGATTTCCCCATTAAAATAGCGGGAGACCCCTCAAGGTTGTGGGGGGGGGTCAGAGTGTTTAACCCCATGCTCCCTGCCATTTCACTCACACCCTGACCCCGAACCGCTGACTCGTGTAATGTCTCTGCCATGCCATTCACGTGTTTGATCAAGGGTTGCCAGAATAATACACACTCAGCAGTGTGTATACACAGCTGCAAACCCCCACGCATCAACGAGAACACATGCAACGATAACCTCTGTCTCCCCCTCTTTTCCCACACACACACAAACACACACAACGGATATCCCACCAACACTACACGACACACACACACAAACACACACACACACACACACACACACACACACAGGCTGTCCCTCTCCTGGGTAAAGGGGAGCTGGGCGTGAGTGGGACATTGTCTTGACAGATCATTCATCAAAGTCAGCGCAGAGCCACACTTGGAAGACTCCCCTGACACTCACCGGATGGCCCTCATGCTTGTGCCAACTCAACCAAAACACATGCTTCTTCATATGTGTGCGCATGTGAGTGGGTTTGTATTAAAGTTTGTTTAAGCTCTGACAACTACACAGTGTGCAGTTTGTCTTCTCAAGTGTTCATAATGCCACACACAAAAGAGGGCCCCCTGCCCCTCATGGGAATTAATTCAGTAAGATCAGGGCGACAATCTAAAATTCAGAATAATCTCCGAAATACGAGTACCTTATTTTCCTTTTAATAAATTTCCTTTTAATAATAAATGAATTTTAACCTCCCATAATTTATGTGCATGCATATTTACATCCTCACATGCACATACACACAAAAAACACAAACATAAACACAACTAAGCTCCTCATATTGAGCTGGAAGTCACCAATCAAGAGCTGTCACCTCTAATCACGTACAAGTAATCATCCCTCTGATGGACTGCAGTGTATATTACAACTATATACATTTGCATAACAAGCTAATCAATTACGTGTGTTTGGGGGTAAAATCTCAGGTATGTATTTGAATTCTAGATGTCATTGTTGCTTGACTATCATTTAATGATCCATTTTCTGCTAAAGGTGACATAATGAAAGTGAGAAGTGAGATAATGAAAAGCAAATAATGATGTACACATGGGCTTAGCTGTGATGTTCACAGTATTACATAAGAAACATGTTACTATGGAATAAACACAAGTAGCTTCGGGGTGAACAAAACTGAGTTAAAAAAATACATCTTCTCTTTCACTTCCACCGTCATCACTTCCAATGCAAAGCTTAATCTAGTGTTTATAAGTGTTTTCATTGAGAAAAGAGGAACAATATGACACTTCCATACACACCCTGTTCATCACTCCAGAGTTTAGATTCACCATTTAATTCCTCATGGTGACCAAAACTCCATTTTCATCCCATGATGCTCTTCTACACTTGACGTTGTATCTGCTGGATACGAGAGGGATGTCTTTCCTATTTTGTAAAATTATCTATCACTTACAATTCAATTATTATGACTTATTTATCACAACTGGGTTAGACCTTCAGTGGTATGTGTGTGTGTGAGTGTGTGTGTGTGTATGTGTGTGTGAGCGAATAAAAGTTTGGATGAGAGAGTGAAGAGA